GTACGCTAGACTCAAAGGTAACCCTCTAGAATTTTAAAGCTATTGACTGCAAACCAGATTTTTTTCTTTTTAAAAAATTTTTTTACATTTTTGACAAGGTGTAGGAGGAACACAGAAATTTGAAAGGAAATAGCAATACATCCAATTTTATTTTGGGCATAGAAGAGTTTTGCAGATAATTTGGCTTGCTAAAGAATACTTTGACACTTATTATTTTCAAGTAGGTTTTTTATTGTGTACTCTGTGAAAGACCTTGTGCTAAAGTGTAAGACAAAAATAAAGCAAGCTGCCTGCAGTTCTCCTGTCTGATGCTGATGGTATAGATTTGGGGCAAAGGGAGGAGGAGGGTTGCACAAGATGACTTTCTTAGGCAACGTGACTGAGAGCCTGGTCAGGCCGGAGGAAGAAAGGTTGCCCTGAGGCTTTTCTCACAGTGCTTGTGCCTTCTGTGGAGACGCCGGTGGTTCAGTTGGGAATGAGTTGTGAGGTGCTGTCTTAGCCAGTGAGGCCCTCAGGAGTGAGAGATGCTTCAGGAGCAGGGCAGGGCCAGCACCCTTGGGGTTGTGCAGGCAGTGACCCAGCTAGTGCATTTTACTCAACTGCCCTGCCTCCTGTTTTTCCCAAAAATGTCCCAGAAAAGCAAATCACAGGACAGAATGAGTCTTCATTCTGAGTTTTGTTAATTTAAAGTAGTTCTCAGAAGTAGTCTTGCTGATGTAATTACAGTCTACACAGAAAACAGGTTAGCCTTCATCCTAGACACAAAACACTTTTTAAATTATTTCTTTTAACTCGCTAAACTAAGATTGATTTCCCAGGTGAAAATTTCAGGTTCTGTGACAGTGTTTTCCGTTCAGGAATCCTGCTCATGATGAGTGTGAGCCGCCTCACCCCTCTCCCTTCTGATCTTAGGTGTGGAAGAACCTCTCTGCTCTGTTCTTTTTTCACTTCTCATTCATTCGTTTGTTTATTCAGCAAACATTTACTGTGTGCCAGCTTGTATGTGAGGTGCCGGAGTTCTTGTCCCAGCCTTACGAAGGGTTCAGCAATCTGGAGAAAGGAGCTGCACATAGATTCAAGAAAGAGTCCAAAAAATGAAAGGTAATTTTGAAAAGCATTGTGGGTCAGAGGATCCAGCTAAAGGAGCTGGAAGACTACCCCTTGTCTAAGGACCCCATGTTATTTATTAACACAATCTGTCCTAAGGCAAGGTGGAGACATACACTTCAAAGGGTAAGGTTTCAAAGGGTAGGGTTCAGAAGCATGGTCAGTTTGGGGAATAGCCTACAGCTGTTCAGGTGTTTGGCCAACAGGAGGCAATAACATGCCCTGAGCTGTCTGGCAGCGGGCAGTCCTATTCAGGTTTGGGAAAAGTGCCATTTAGCCGTTCCAACAGATAATTACATTTGACTCAACCCTTGTTGAGCTCCCCAAGCTTCACCAACCTTTTGGTGAAACTCTTGTAATTATGACATGCTGGAAGTGGTTCCCAGCAGTGAGGCACGAGGATAATGAGATTAATACCTTCGGTCATCCATACTGGACCAGTTACCATCCCAAATATGTTTTATGATGGTTTCACAGCCTGGGGGTTTCACAGTTTCCTTTGTTTGTAACCTTTCCTGTCCTCCATATGTAACTGAAATGTCTGTCTCCCCGGGTAAAACGTACCCCATTTATGCAGCTCTGTTTCCCACTTTCTTTTTAAACAAGTGACAGTTCAAAATAGAAAATCCTCCTCTCCGTTTTGTAGCTGAAGACATACTCTCAGAGAAGATGGACTCTCGGGACCTGGACAGTAGCAGAATGAAGTTGAACCCAGGCTATGGCCCCCATGACGGTACAGGTCCGATTTTTCAGACCCGGCCTTTCCGGGTGCTGGTGACACTGGCAGCTCAGGATTTCCAGCCTCCTCTGTAAGGTGACCGTGTGCCTTCCCCGCCTCGAGGGAGCTGTGAGCGGGAAGCGCCGGGTTGGTCTGCGCTCTCACCAACAGGAAGGCGCCGCAGCAGTGCCAGCTGTGCGTGTGGCTTCAGCATGGCAGAGACCGTTTTGTTTTCTGAGTGAAGGTTATGACTGAGGCTGGTCTCTGCATTCGTGTGTTCCTGAGACTTCCACAGAGAGGAGCTTTACATAAAGGGCTTCTGCTTGTGCGGTGCCATCGATTACAAGCCGAAGAGCCAGCAAAGTGTTTCTCTCCGTGTCTTTCTCAGCCACCAGATGCTTGTCCTCCTGGGGGGACTGCCCGGGGTGTGAGGCCACGCAGCTCGTGCAGCCATGCTGTGGGCCGGCCGCAGGGTCCGTTCCAGCCAGCCCTGAGCAGGCTGCCTCTGGTGTGTCAGTAACTGAGCCCATGGCGAGGGTCACACTGGATTTGCTCTTAAGATAAAATGGTGTTACCGTGAGTTTCAGCGTAGTGCGGAAAACATTATATATGGATGTTTAAATTAGTTTTTGAGTAGTAACGGTGCGCACAGTACAGAATTCTTCCTATGCCAACTCTTCCCAGGGGCTGCAGTCTCTGGGGCCGCCTTCCAGAGGTGGTCCAGGCCAGCGGTCGCCAACCTTTCGCCTCTAGACCGATACGGCCATTTGAGCTCTGGTGCACACGGTGCTGCACGCTGCATGGTCCTCACCATGGCGTTGGGTGCTGTCACACTGACAGAGCTCCGCCTCCATCTGTGTGAGGCGCTGCTATAGCAGCTTTCTGACTGATGGGTGTTTAGATTGTTATAGAAAAGACATTGACAATCAATATCTTTATAGATACCTCACGTGTACATAGGTATTGTATCTGTGCAATTCTTGGATGTGGAATCGATGGGCAAGAGACAACGCTTAGAAAGTGTGCTAATACCCATTGCCCTTCAGATCGTAGTAATCGCTCACCTCAGTGTGTGCATTACTCCTGTCCGTACAGTGTCACACGTTCATTTTGGGCAGTGTTACAGGTGAAATGTTTCTGTCTATTCCACACTTTCCATATGTCTAAAATCCACTTATTGGAGAGAAACTGTGCAGTTTCTTTTTGAGGTGATAAAAATGGTATGAAATTAGACAGTGATGCTTTCATACTTTTATAAATACATTTAAAATCACTGGATTGAACCCATTAGAAAGGGTGAATTTTGTGGCATGGGAATTATATCTTGCTAAAGCTGTTATTTTAAAATATAAAACTCATTTGTATTTTCCTTTCTGCACACAGACTTCGTTTCCCTGTTTCTTTATTGTTCTTTTTCTTATAGGAAATTAGTTTTGTTTTTGTTATGTTTCATTTTCCACAGTTGCCCATTTGCTCTTTTAATCTTGATTCCTTGATTTTGCTCTTTAGACAAGTAGAAATTTTTCGTTTTTATATATGGTTAGTCAGATCCTTTTTTTTTTTCTTTTAAGAAAATTTGAGGTGGTTTTTCATACTTGGAAAGGTTTTTCTTCAATATCATATATATTTAAATCTTTGCTTCTAAATCTTTAGAATTTCTTTTGGCTTAAGTTGTGAGGAAGGGATAATAGCTTTTTTCCTTCAGATGATACTCAATTGCCCCATACTTAATAAATAAAAACAATAATTGGCTGCTTCCTGCACACCCCACACTGGATCAAGCCTGCAACCCAGGCATGTGCCCTTTATCGGAATTGAACCAGAAACCCTTCAGTCCACAGGCCTATACTCTATCCACCGAGCCAAACTGGCCAAGGCTGAAATTCAACCTTTATCATTCCTAAATTCTTTTATGTTCTGTGGTCTAAATTCTGGACTTTTTATTTGGCCCCATTCTTGTTATTTCACATGTTACTATCACATTTTTTTTTTTTTTTAAATATTGGGTAGCTGGAGGAATCAAGTGTAGGATTTTTTTTTTAATATATTTTATTGATTTTTTTTTTTTACAGAGGGGAAGAGAGAGAGATAGAAAGTTAGAAACATCAACAGGAAAGAATCATCGATCAGCTGCCTCTTGCACACTCCCCCACTGGGGATGTGCCTGCAACCAAGGTACATGCCCTTGACCGGAATCGAACCCGGGACCTTTCTGTCCACAGACCGATGCTCTATCCACTGCCAAACCGGTTTTGGCATTACTATCACATATTTTAATAACTTTACATATAAAGACTTGTAAAACACTGTTTAAAGGTTTGCTTTATCATCCTTGATTATATTTCCCTTAAGTGACACTTTATTTTTATTGCATTAACTTACAGAGATGTTCATGAATTTGATTATTTCACTCCTTTGCTGCTTCTCTTATTTTCTTGTCTTATTATCTGTTCATTGTCTGTCAGATCGATCTATAATAATAAAAGCAATTCTAAATGAAACTGTGGGGGCAGGGGCTGAGGCAGAGGCGGTTAGGGGTGATCAGGCAGGCAGGCGGATGAGTGATTAGGGGCTGTGCAGTCCCATATTGTGAAAGCGATGTCCGACTGCCAGTCATCCTCCGAGGGGTTCCTGATTGTGAGAGGGTGCAGGCCGGGCTGAGGGGTCAGCCCCTCCCCCTCCCCCATGCACAAATTCTGTGCCCCGGGCCTGTAATGTTAAGTGCTAGTGATCACAGGAGACATTTTCAGCTTGCCTCCCTTAGCGTAGTGCACATGCTTTAGGCATGAGATAGTAATATTCCTACGTGAAATGGGGCTGTGTGGTTCTTTTGCTTGTTTTTTATTACCAAGTTTGGTTCCATTGTCTTAGAACTAATTTTAAAATATATTTTTTAAATCAGCTATGGAACAATTTAAATGTCATTGGTGTTGCTCATCCTGAACAGGTTTGGTGGCAGAGTGGGGCTCTTATTCTGTGGGGAGGCAGTTCTCACTGATTTATCCTACTTCTACGTAATCCCTCTATTTTCTCTTTTGGGACCACTATGTTTTCCTTAAAAATTACCCCTTTTGGATGGATATGCACGGATGAGTCATAGTATTCTTAAGTTTCTGTTAACTTCTTCTATCTTATTTTGCATTCTCTATATTGATTTCTTTGTTCTTTTTTACAGGAACGGGAAATATAGTGGTCATTATGGTTAGCTACTCGAAAGGAAAAGAAATTTTGGATCTAGTACAAAAAGAAATTCAAGTCAAAATGACCATTCGGGTTGGGACCCGCCATGTCCAGGAGTTCATCAGTGGCCAGTCTGTGGTGTTCGTGGCCATCGCCTTCATCACCATGATGATCATCTCATTAGCATGGCTGATATTTTACTATATACAGCGTTTCTTGTATACTGGCTCACAACTTGGAAGCCAGGTAATTATGGATAATCTTTTTTAACTTTGCTTTTTAAAAGATAGTTTGTAGGTTTTTTCCATAGATACTGCTTGAAGTTGTATTGGACCTTATTCTTAATTTCATTTTCACTCATAATAGTTAAGTATTGATATGATGCTTTTTCTGCAAATAACTTTTAAATAGAATGTATTACACTTTTCTGTTCTGTGGGGAATCAGATATCTTTAAAGCCAGGACACTTTTTGCATGTTTTGCAAACGTAATGGAATGACAAAGAGGCATGAGGCAGAGGGGACCTGGTTCTATGGCGCTGCGCCGGGGAGGACCGGGCGGGCTTCCGCCTTCCTTGGAGCAGCTGCAGAGCCAGGCTCCACACCGAGCCTCGCACCCTGCACCCTGGGCCCGGGCCCTGCTGTTGGAAAAGTCGCCCTCCTGGCCTGGGGCAGGAGAGGGTCTTTCTGAGTCATCTTCTGCCTGTTGGCTTGGAAGCCCCTTTCCTACAGGGAGGTTAATAGTTGGTAGCCCCATCCTTAGCTTACAATTTGGTAGCCAATATTTAAACACGAGAGGCCAGATGCACGAAACTTTGCAAGAGCAGGCCTTCCTTCCCCCGGCTGCCGGCACCGGCTTCTCTCCTCTGCCTGCCGGCAGCACGCAGGACTCAGGCTGGCTTCCTTTGGGCCACCCACAGGCACCCAGGACCCAGGCTTCATCAGAAAGGACGTTCGGAACGACGCCTAGAAGACATCCAGTCTAATTAGCATATTACCCTATTATTATTATAGGTGAGAATTGGAATTGGGCTCTTGTTAGGCATGGAATTGAAAATAGTATCTCCCCCCCATTGCAGTTTACATTCAGTATTGTTTTGTACAGCTTAGACAAACATATACTTTATAAAGTGCCCCCCCCTATTTCTAGCACCCACCTGGCACCATTCATAGTTATCGACAGATATAAAAGGCTGATGGGCTAAGTGTCTGTCCAACCAATAGCTGTGTTGCGCACTGACCACTCGGGGCAGACACTCTGCAGGAGCTGCCATTCTCGGGTGACCCACCCCAAGGCCAGAGAGGAGGGAGCCCAGTTCCTCATGGGCCACGCGATTCCACCATCGGCCATGGGTTATGTTGTCGCTGGGGCACTGTCAGCCCCGAATCTGGTTTACTGCTCACTGTGTTTGCGTTCCACGCCCTGTATGACAGCAACTTTGAAGAGTGCCCTCTCAACTTCCGGGACCCTCAGGGGATCTCAGAGAGCCAGTTTCAGCCCGATCCACACAGGCCAGGCCAGGCCCCCGCTCTGCAGATGCCCTTCGAACCACGTCACCACCCCCGGCGCAGCCGGCCAGGGAGAGTCCATGGGAGGTTGACTCCAGGGCGTGTCTGGCCCAGTCCCGCCCTACTGGCCACCTTCTAATTAATTTCCTTCAATGTGCACAAATGCTTGCACCAGGTCACTCATTACTTATATTTCCTGTGCTACACTTTGCGTCCCCATGACTAGTCTGTAACTACCAGTCTGTACTTCTCAGTCCTATCACCTTTTCACCCCGTGTCCAACCCCCCTTCCATCTGGTAACCCTCGGTCTGTTCTCTGTACCTGAGTCTGTTCTGTATTGTTCTGTAGATTCCACATGTAAGGAAGTCACATGGTATTTGTCTTTCCGTGCCTGCACATGTGCAGCAGCATAGCAGGGTCTGGAGGGTGTTGTGCTAAGTGAAAATAAGTATTTTTGATCAAATCACTCTTAAGTTGTATGTGCTTATTCTGTACATTAAGACAAATGGTAATTTTAAAGTTATTTCATTATAGTCATTTAACTTGGCTTTTTAACTGAATTTCTTCTATAAGCTTCCTTATATTTTATGAGTTTTTTTAAATAATGATTTTACATAAATTTTCAATAATAATAACAATTTTTTTTTCTACTTCAGAGCCATAGAAAAGAAACTAAGAAAGTTATTGGCCAGCTTCCACTTCATACTATAAAGCATGGAGAAAAGGTAATATTTTTGTGGTTTGTGTTTTCTGTTTTGTTTTTGCTTGAGACTAGACTATGTTTGTCTGTGTCTAAGTAAGCCTTTCCAGTCTGCTATATTCAGTGTCGTGCACATGAAGTTTTAACTAGTTGAATAAATACTAACTCATTTTATATGTGTTCATTTTAGAGCAAGGTTGTCAGAAATAATTCAGTTGCATATGTGATGAGTTTTTCAGTCCTAGGACAGCCACTAGCCATACACAGCTAACGCGAATTAAATTAAACCTAAAATTCAGTTCTTTCTCCACATTAGCTACAGTCCAATGCTCCATTGGCCTCAGTGGCTGGTAGCTACCACCCTGGACAGTGCTAGGATGTCCATCACCGGAAAACCTCTACCTGGTGGTCAGACTTAGATGACACTAAAGAAGATGAAGAACCTAAAGTTCCTGCCACAGACCCTTGGGAATTTAAATTCATCTTTTTTTAATCTGAGACTGTTTATTCTCTCAACTACCTTGAATATGTATTCTCTCAAATTCCTTGGATATGTGAAAAAGGGAGAAACAGTGTTTTTAAAAGTACTTTTTCACAAAAGAAACATTTTTACATGGCTAACCTGAGATTTAACAGGATAAAATCATACCCAGTTGAACCATTTTTAGAATAGGACATATCTTAGATCTAGAACCTCAAATTTTGGAGGGTAGATTCCTTAAAAGGAAAACATTTGCTAACACAACAGTGTTCATTCTTTTTTTTTTTTTTTTTAATAAATTTTTATTGTTCATATTATTACAAATGTTCCTTTTCTCTCTCTCTCTCTCTCTCCCCCCCTCCATTGCTCTCCTCCACCAGGTTCCCACCCCACCCTCTGCCCTTTCCCCACCCCCTTTGTCCTCATCCATAGGTGCATGTTTATGTTCAGTCTCTTCCCACACACCCCCTCCCCCCCTCCCCGAGAATCGTCAGTTCACTCCCCTTCCATACCTCTGATTCTATTATATTCACCAGTTAATATTGTTCATCAGATTTTTTTTTAATTTCCTTGGTTTTTAGATTCACTTGTTGATAGTTACGTATTTGTTGTCATAATTTTTATCTTTATTTACTTTCTCTTTAGAAAGAACCCCCTTCAGCAATTCATATAATTCTGGTTTGGTGGTGATGAACTCCGTTAGCTTTTTTTTTTTTTTATTGGTGAAGCTCTTTATCTGGCCTTTTATTCTGAGTGATAGCTTTGCTGGATAGATTATCTTTGGCTGTAGGTTCTTACTATTAATCACCTTGAATATTTCTTGCCATTCCGTCTGGCCTGCATGGTTTCTGTTGAGAAATCAGCTGACAATCGTATAGGTGCTCCTTTATAGGTAACTACCTGCTTTTCTCTTGCTGCTTTTAATATTCTCTCTTTGTCTTTTGCTTTTGGAATTTTAATTATGATGTGTCTTGGTGTGGTCCTCTTGGATTCCTTTTGTTTGGAGTTCTGTGTGCTTCCTGGACTTGTAAGTCTAATTCTTTCACCAGGTGGGGGAAGTTTTCTGTTACTACTTCTTTCAGTATGTTTTCGATATCTTGCTCTCTCTCATCTTTTGGGACCCTATAATTCTGATGTTGGTTCGCTTGAAGTTGTCCCAGAGATTTCTTACATTATCTTCAATTTTCTGGATTCTCTTGTCTTCTTGCTTCTGCAGAGGAGTGTCTTCTGGCTCTTTATGTCCCAAATCTTTGACTTGATTCTTGTGATCTTCCTTTCTGTTTTTAAGACTCTGTATAATATTTTTTATTTCAGACAATGTATTCTTTATTTCTGGTTGATCCCTTATCATTTCTTGTTGACTTCTTATTAATTCTAGTTGATCCCTTTTTATATCCTCATAGGTCTTATCGACTTTTTCTAGGAAATTCTTGAAAAACCTTTTAAGCATAGATTTGAACTCTATATCCAGTTGCTTTTTGTCCTCCATTTCTTTCATTTGTGATCTATTTCGTTTTCTCGGCATTTTCGCAGCTTCCCTGATCGGGCAGGGTTTCAGGGTGGAGCCTACAGCCTTGGCTTCCGTCAGCCCCGCCCTATGCGGTTCCTGAGTCTCAGTAATCCCCAGGGTCCTTCAATACTCGTTGCAAGCACCTCTAAGAGAAAGGTGCCCTCGATTTTCGCCTGCTACCAAACAGTCTAGGCTCTCCCCCAATGAGCCCGGTATTGGGGTTCAGTTCAGTTGGAAGTGGAGTTGGAGGTGGCGTTCAGAGCAGTCTGGAGCCCCTGTCTCCTTCCGGCCAAGGCAATCCCACGGCACAGCCGGCCATCCCTTCTCTGCGCGCAATATTTGCGCCTCCGGGACCTCCTTTCACCGCTCCCCCAGGTTTCTGCCTTATGGCCCAGCTCCCTATGGATGAGCCTGGGTCCCTGGGGTCTGGCCCAGAACTGGGGTTCCGAGCAGTCGGAACTGGGGCCCAGCACAGTCGGAGCTTTTATCTCCTTCCCGCTAGGGAACGCCAGCCAGACACTCAGCCGCCCTCCTCTCCGGCTCCATCCTCTCCGCGTGTCTCCGTACCTTAGGCTTTTCCAGCTCCTCCGCGCTTCCTTCTGGTTTTCTCCTTGCTTCTCATTGTAGAATTTCCAGTCATTCGACTTTCCTGTAGTTCTGGGTAATGTCCATTTTATATTTTAGTTGTATTTTATTGAAATTGTTGTGTGCGGCTGCGGCTAGGTGTTTACCTGGGCAGCCATCTTGGATTCTCCCATGTTCATTCTTGTAATAGTCCATTTTTGTGCCATGAAATGTCGATGACTATGTTGACAAAGCTGTAGGTTTGTTCAGTTTTGATCTTCATTTTATCTCACTAAGTTGAGGCTCAATCTATTTCTAATCTCACTTTAAAAATCAAACAAACTGTACTTGTGTTATTTATTTCTTCCTCAAACCTACTTAAAGAATCAAAACAGAAATAACACATTAAATTATAGACCTTTGGTTTGAAAACTTTGGAATCTGATATTAATTATGTGATGTCTTTCATATTAAGATACTAGAGGCCTAGTGCATGAAATTTGTGCACTCAGTAGGGGGTGTCCCTCAGCTCTGCCTGTGCCCTCGGGGACTGTCTGACTGACGGCTTAGGTGGGAGCAGGCCTTAGCACTGCTGAGGAGGCAGGCGAGGCTCCCACCACCACTGCCACACTCGCCAGCCATGAGCCTGGCTTGTGCTTAGGCGGCACTCTCCCTATGGGTGTGCACTGACCACCAGGGGGCAACTCCTACATGTCATAGCCACTGGTCGACCAGTCAACTGCCCCCTGGTGGTCAGTGCACTTCATAGCAAGCAGTTGAGTGGCCTTAGCATACCATTAATTAAGCATATTACACTTTGATTGGCTGAATGGATGACTAGACACTTAGCATATTTGACTTTTATTATATAGAATTCTGGGGATTATATTGTTGGCTACCATTCCTTCCCTAAAGCCTTCACATTATAGTAGCAGTTGAGTTTTAATAGTTTGTGCAAGGGCTCTTACAGATGTACTGAACAGAACAAGTTAAAAACATTTCCCATCTTAAAGGTTAAGGTTGGCCTCCAGTTTATAAGCAGGGTCCCCAGGGAGAAAGTTTCCTGTGGTGAAGGCCTGGTGCAGCCAGTGACCAACGGGCACAAGTTCTCCGTGCCTCCCACACTGGGTCTTCCTCTCGCACCCTTACGTGAGAAGACAGATTAATGTGTATAATTTACTGAGTTAGTATCCTGTTTCTATATAGAACATTTTGGAAAATATACTTCCATGGACTGAAAGTTGTCAAAATAGTGGTTTAGAAAAGAGGATCCATATAATTGGCCCATGAGATAGACAAATAAATTTTTTGACAATTTTATGTTTTAAACATATATGTAAAATGTTGTTTAAATAGATTTATGTGTACATATATATACACATACACACTCATATACACTGAGTGGCCAGATTATTATGATCTCTGAACATATAATAATCTGGCCACTCAGTGTCTATCCTATAGACTAAAAGGCTAATATGCAAGTTGTCCCCTGGACCAGGAGTTAAACAGGCTGGCCAACCGCCCATGTTCCTTCTCCCTGGTCATGTTGGCCGGACCCCACCCATGCACGAATTCATGCACTGGGCCTCTAATACATACACACACACACACACACACAGAGTGGCCAGATTATTGTGCTTTCAGAGATCATTATAATCTGGCCACTCGGTGTATATATACATACACACACATTCTCTATAATAAAAGACTAATATGCAGATTATCCCCTTGAGAATTCAACTACTCGTTTTGAGGAGTCCTGACCACGGGGGGTGGCGTGGAACAAAGGAAGGCCCTGGCCAGCAGCCGGGGCAAAGATGGTCCTGATCAACTCTGATCACTAGCCAGGCCTAGGAAAGAGGGAGAGGGAGAGAGAGAGGAAACACTGATTTATTGTTCCACTTATTCATTCATTCATTGGTTGCTTCTTGTATTTGCCTGACCCCTGACTGGGGATCAGACTCCATCTTAGCGTACTGGGACAACACTAACCAACTGAGCTGCCTGGCCAGGGTCTTCTAAACTCGCATCTGGGCCCGTTCTGCAGGCTGGTATTTGTTTTCTAACTCTTCTTTTCTTGTGGACTCTCTCACTGTCATGCGTTCGTTTTTAAGTCATTATAGATTTTAAAAATGATTTCATCATCTTGCATGGCATATGATAGTGAGTGACACTTACTTTAGTTCTAACATAGTTTAAGTGTTGATATAAAGTTCATTTTTATACAGTTTTTGAGAACCATATCTACATATAAGATCAGTTTTTATTGCTTATTTGTTAACAAGTGATACACATGGCTAAATGTCTTTTTTTTTTTTTTATAAAATGGTTTAATGTGTTTTCTTCATATATTCATCTTTTGTATTGGCTTCTTGGGGCTGCTGTAATGAATTACCACAAATTTAGTGGCTTAAAACGACAAAATTTATCCTCTCACAGTACTGGAGAGTTAAGTTTAAAATCAGTGTGTCGGCAGGATTGGTTCCTTCTGGAGGCTCTGAGGAAGGATCTATTCCATGGCTCTTTCCCGCTTCTGGCGGCTCCCCCCAATCTTTGCTGTTCTTTGGCTTGTAGCTGCATTACTTCAGTCTACCCCTCCATCGCCACAGTGCCTTCTCCTCTGTGTCTGTGTCTCCTCTTCCTTCCACATGGCTAAATGTATTTTAATATAATTATGTCTAACCATATTCCATATAGTTAACTTGCTAAAGTCGCAGCCCCCTGACTGATTGGCGATTCCTGAATCCTCGTCCCAAAAGCCTGGGAATAAGCACCTCCTTGGTCTTTCTGGGTCAGAGGGCCGTCCGGCCCACCTGCTGTGGTCGATGGGATGAGGGACCGGGGTGTCGGGTAGTAAGGTTGACCCATGGACTCTTAGAAGTGAAATGTTGTCCGAAGACAGCTCTCCCCTGCAATTTTTGTTTCTTTTACCTTGAAAAAAAAAATTGTTTCTTTTAACACTTGATAGGTTAAAAAATGGTGACATTTCCACGTGTAATTCTGCCATCACTCTGAGGCATTTCCTCTTTGGCAGGCTGACTGCTTTAGCAGCCTCTCATGACCGGGCTCTAGTTTTTCTTCTAGAGACCCCAGAAAACACGCAGCCTGCCGGATATTCTCCCCTATAGGCTCCCTGCGATGCGTAATGGATCATAGCAGAGCAGGTGCTGCCTTGTAAAGCCTTTAAAACGTGGACACTACAAAACGGAAACCATGAGCACTAGCCTAGTATGTAAACGCTGTTTGTGTCTGGTTACATAGACAGTGACTTTTTTATCTTTTCAGCCAAATTCTTTAAATATACTCTTGATAGTAGTAAAAAGGAAGTGCCAAGTAGAAATGGTTTGTTTAGTTTCAAGCTGTAACCGAGCTGGAATCCACCAGTGACCCAGGGTGCCGTGGGCTGCCCAGGACGTGCTGCTGTGCCCCGGTCAGTAACCCCTCTCTCTCCGCAGGGACTCGACGTGGACGCTGAGAACTGTGCTGTGTGCATTGAGAATTTCAAGGTGAAGGATGTTATCAGAATCCTGCCGTGCAGGTCAGTGCTTTACTCCTGATTCACGACTCGGTGAACCGGCTCCCGGCCAAGGAGGTCGGGCCTCTGCCCTGTAGATAAAATGCTTGGCTGAGTCCGGGAGGCCCGGAGACCCGGAGACCCTGCTGTCTCTGTCACAGATTGGCTCTCTCAGGAGGGAGCTGCAGCCTGGCCGCAGGCCCTGCCCACCGGTGTGGGGGGAGGGCAGCGGAGGCGAGGGCAGCGCTTTGCTGTTGCTTGCTCCCGGGTCTTGGGGCCTCTGGGGTTGCACACGGTTACTCTGCGTACATCACGCTGGATCACTTTTAGCAACAAAGTTGTTTCCTCTTTCATGATGGGATATTTGATACCTCTTTTTAAAAAATGCTTTGTTAGCAAAAGGTCGTGCAAAATTTATATGTTCAAGTGTGACCAGTTTTAATTATAGCTCACATCTATTAGAAGCAAGTCAGGAGTTCATACAGGTGGGGCCAGGGTAGGCTTACCGTGTGAGTACGAGAAACAGAGTTTATCCTTTTATTATTTATTACTTATTGAAGCATTTCCCATGATGAACTGTAGTCCATCATACGTAGGCCCCACCCTGTATATAATTATATTTGCTTTATGTTTGCAAAGTATTTTAATATAGAAACAAGTATTTTATCGTACATTAAGTTCTCAATAATTGTAGAGGAAATAAATAACTATTCAGAATAACAAAATAAAAGTTTCCTCAATAAAGATGTATAACTTAAGTCTATAGGCATTTACAAGGGATTGGTGGGATGGGTACTTAATGAATTAGAGTCAGTATTATATGTTGCCTCTAGAAAATTTAAAATAAATTGTAAATATATTTGTGTTGATTTCAGAGAGAAAGGGAGAGGGGAAGAGAGAAACATCAATGATGAGACAGAGTCATTGGTTGGCTGCCTCCTGCACTCCCTTGACCAAAATCGGACAAGGGACCCTGCAGTCCACACTGGCTAGGGCTAGAAAGCTGTTAGAATAGAAAGGTGTTTAACTCCCGGCTGGGAGCCAGCGGGCGGGGCTCCTCCCTCACCCACAGAAACGCGCGCCGGGCCGTCTCCCCGGCTCTTCCTGAGGTTCTTGGGGGCTTTGGCTTTTTCCTCCATTTTCTCTGGTGCTCTATTGAATGGCTCTTCCTATGTGTTTTTAAGTTTTTGTGAAAATAATTCCTATGGGTGAGTCAGTTTCAAATTGAGGATGGAAAGGTGCGGGGAGAGGCTGGCCTGGACCGTGCCTGCTCTGCTGCAGGCCACACGTGTGGCTCCTCGCGGGGCGGGGCCGGCGCCAGGGGGCCGGGCGGGGCGGAGACCGGTCGGCAGGCGTGGTGTCTGAGCCCAGCCTGCCGGTCCAGCGCTGTACTCTGCCCTCCTCGCCTTCGCCACATGAGCGCCACTGAGACAGTCAGCAAGGAAAAAATGTGTGCGATTTATTTTTATTCTGAAACTGATGTGTTTGTTACAGAAAATGTTTTTAAAGCCTGCAACCAAGGATGATTTGTTAATATTTTGCTGTATTTCCACTTAAGTCATTTATAGACAGGCATAAGATGCTATCAGTTTGGTATTAGTTTACTGTTGGTTTACTTAATGCCACGTTTGTTTCCAAAGGGCTTCAAAAACACACAAAAATACAACCTAGCATAATGTGAAAGGAAACCGGGATATTTTTTGTGGCATAAAAAGGAAAATTCTCTGTAAGATTCTGTTTAACATGGAAAATAGACTAGGTAAGAACTTAGGGAAATTGAATAGACTACAGTGTTGTTTGCATTATTTTAAAAATATTTTTTTATTGATCTCAGAGAGGAAGGGACAGGGAGGGAGAAAGATCAATGATGAGAAAGAATCATTGATTGGCTGCCTCCTGCACGCCCCCTACTGGGATTGAGCTCCAATCCAGGCATGTGCCTTGACTGGGGATTGAATCGTGACCTCCTGGTTTGTAGGTCAATGCTCAGCCACTGAGCCATGCTGGTTGGGTGAGATGTCATTTAATTGTAATGAGAAGATAATGTGTTAGAATGTGTTGTTTCCTTGATAAGATGTAAGCATTGCTTGTAAAACATAACACACCTTACTTTTTCAGGCATATTTTTCATAGAGTGTGCATCGACCCATGGCTTTCTGACCACCATACGTGTCCAATGTGTAAGCTTGATGTCATCAAAGCCCTGGGATACTGGGTTCGTGCCTTTTGTTTCTATTCAATCTCTGCCCCGTGCTTCCTGGGGGACGCGTGTCATTACTGAGAGAGACTCCTCGTTAAGAATGAATTCTTAGGCTATCCCAAAGAAAAGGAGGGGCCTGGGTTTGTGATGGCAGAGTACGCTGTTCCTCAGAGGGGGCGCCGAGTGGGGTGTTTGGGGAACGCGCTGCAGGTGCCTGTGTGGCCGTCCCTGGTGCACGGCTGAGGCTTCCGGGAGGAGCGGGGGGAGGAGCCAGACACTGGGGCTCAGGTGCACGTCCCGGGGAGGAAGCCAAGGCCAGGGCCTCCTGAGCCGTTCTCCGAGTCCTGCCCGGAGGCTCCCTCCGAGAGCAGCCGCAGGCCGAGGCAGCAGAGTGGCCCTGCGGCTCCTGGGGTGGGCGCTGCGCCTGTCCGCTCATAGGGCTCAGGCCGGGGAGAGGCTGCCCGGGGGGAGTCAGCTGTCAGAGGCTTCCACGCTCTTCACTGCTGTCCTCCCCAACGGGGGCAGACGGAAGGAGACAGCTGCTTCTGGCTTGTCTATTTCTTATTGTCTTTAGAGTCTTTATATAATCAAATCAGTGTTTCCAAATATTCTTGATTTGACAGTCATTAGTTTTGAGATAAAGATTTTTGAAAGAAATAATAGAAAATGTTTTTTCTGCATGCTAAACATATTTTTAGAGTTGGGTTTCTTTGCCAACTTTTTATTTTCCAAGTAACATAAACAAAAACCTGATGCCTATTATTTAAAGTAATTTTGTAAGATAAAAAGAGATTTTAACATCCAAAATGCAAAATGAACAAACAGGAGACCTCCTGACAGAGACTGAGCCTCTCGATGAACACACGGAGCTTTAGAGAAATTCACGTTGCTGCGGAGACGGCCCTGCCCGCTGTCCGGGCGGCGGAGGGGAGCCCCCGCCCCGCAGGCGCACGGCAGGGTCAGCATCCTGGCGGCCTGGCCCGTCCCTGACATCCATCGCTCATGGCGGCGGCCAACGGCGCGGCCTCTGTCAGCCCGTCAGCCCGGGTGCCGCCTTCCCAGGGCCCCTGCCTGCGGGAGGCGGAGCGGCGGAGCGGCTCCCTCCCCCACATGCTCTCTGCTGCTCGGGTCAAGTAACTCCCCTGCTTTCATTTCTAAACATCGGTAAAGGGATTTCACTGAAAATTAGTATTGAGACTTTATTTTATTATTACTACTTTTTAAAATTTTTTTATTGATTTCAGAGAGGAAGGGTGAGGGAGAGAGAGAGAGAGAAACATCAATAATGAGAGAGAATCATCGACTGACCAGCTGCCTCCTGCAGGCCCCACGCTGGGGATGGAGCCCCCAACCCAGGCCTGTGCCCTTGACCGGAATCGAACCCGGGACCCTTCAGTCTGCAGACAGATGCTCCATCCACTGAGCAAGACCAGCCAGGGCAGCATTGAGACTTTAATCCCCATGTGTTTTGGTTTTGGAAATTCGTAAATTAAAAGTCGAGGTTCTTCACTTTACCTCAGGTTGGGTTGCTTTCTCGGAATGCCGATGCCAGAAAGCTCCACGGTGTCCCGGGAAGCTCACTTCTTTGGGAAGAACAGCGGCCTGTGGTGACTTAAATCAAAGCAAGTCCTTAGCTTGTCTCGCCTTAACTTTTCAAACCTTTTGACAAGTGTGCCATTTCCCTCGGCCCTCAGTGGTGGGGCCAAGACACGCTCCCATGTGGCAGCTGTAACTAGTTGTGTCCAAGGTGCAGCAGCGGTAACCAGTGCTGGTTGTGTCCAAGGATGCCCGCGGCCTAGCGCAGCCCCTGGCCGGCAGGCAGACCCTTGGCCTCAGGTCGGCAGCCGCTGGGCAGCAGTGTAGGCGGGACTCACCTGGGCCCGGGCACAGGGATGGTAAAGAGGACACAGCCGGCTCGCCCCGGCATCTGCTCCGGGGCAGGAAAGCGTGTAATAAGCTTCACTTCCTGGCAACAACAATAAAAAGGCGCGTTGTTTGGGCAGGGGGAATAGTGGTTAGAATGCCAGATCTTGGGAAGCTGCTTTTTGGGAAGTAATTCACTGATGATGCTAGATAAAGTAGATATGGTGTGCTTTTTGCTACATTCTGTGTATAGGTAAACATTTGTGAACAAAATACGGTAAGTGTGTGAACTGTGGACAAAGGTGATAAATGCACTGTGATGGGTGGACTTAGAACGCCGTTCCCTTTGTTCTAACGCAGGGGGAGCCGGAGGACGCCCCCGAGGGGCCCGCCGCCGAGGCAGCCCCAGGCGGTGCCCTGGCTGCAGGTGTGAGTGTCACTGTGGGCACCGAAGACCCGAGTGCGGGCTGCCCCGCCCCGGCGCCCTCCGCCGGGGACCCCGCGCCGCCCTGCAGGGGGCGCCCCAAGGACGACACGGGGGAAAGCACAGCCTTGCTCGGTGAGTACTCGCAGTCACCCGCAGGCTGACGAGGGCGCTGGGAAAGAAACAGCATGAAGTGCAGGAAAGCTAAAGGAAAAATGAAAACCTGGAATGCTGTTTTAACATTTTGACAAATATATTTTCGAAGGTTTTTTGTGTGTTTGGTGATGGGGAGAATGTCATTCATGTGCTACTAGGCAAGCTGCTTTTTTCTCTGAGTGTCTGTCTGTGTTTCTGTATGAGTAGATATATAATTTGTACAGATGCATAGTCCTGCATTTTGGATTTACTTGAGTAATTTTTCAAGCCACACCCTATGTGTGGCTTTTGCCAGTACGTAACATCTTCATACCACTTGTCTAATTTGTGTTCTGTCATTCTGATTGATAAAGTAGAGTGAATTGCATTTCTTTGAAGATTTTTTAAATTAATTTTTAGGGAGAGAGGAGGGGAAGAGAGAGAAACATCAGCGTGAGAGCAAAATATTGATTGGCTGCCTCCTGCCTAGGATCGAACTATTAATAGCAACTTTCAGTGCCGGACAGCTCCCTGCGCACTGAGCCACACCGTCCAGGGCTGACTTGCATTTCGTTATTATTCATGAGCTTACCTTCTTTTCATATTTGTCAGTCATCTTTCCTTTTATGAATTGTCCCTTTCATTCTTAGCTTATTTTTCTGTAGAGAAACGAGTCTTTCATTCTGACACTAAGCACTTCGGTCCTCGTCGCATGTATTCAGCATCACTCCCTTCCCCCAGTTTCTGTGCGCTTTGGCTGTGGGGGCTGCTTCGGGGGCTTGGTCTGTTGGGGACATTCTTCTGAGCAGCCGGGCCTCCTTCCCAGGCAGCCCCTCGCCCGCGCTCCCGCCGAGGCACGCAGAGTCTGCCCGCCACTGCCCTCCGGCGGGCGGCAGCTGCGGAGGACGGCGCTCCCTAACCCCGGCCCCCGTGATCTGGGCGGCACTCACCTGACCCCAGTTCTCTTCATGCTCGTTCCTGTGGTGCAGTAGTGTCAGCATCCTCCCAGACGCCCTCTGAAAACGGAGGTGGTTTCAGACACAGAGAAATAACGGTGTGGGAGAAGCTGGTGACGGGAAACCCACGGCCCCCTCCCTGGGGAAGTCCTTTCCTGTGGGCTGTCCTTTGTCCTGGCGGCCCGCGCACAGCGCGCCTGTCCCTGTGTGCGGGCGCTCTGTCTTGGGAACCGCGTGCTGCAGCGTTTACTGCAGGGGCGAGCACCGGGTTCTCCCCCAGGTGCGCCCTCTAGCTTCCCTTCCTGGCCTGTGCAACGGGACGATGGCATGTAGTGTCCACCTCACTGGTCACCGTATTGCCCAGCAGGCGCTGGTGGCTCCACAGGCGGGCGTCCCCGTCTTGGCCACCAGAGCCACTGACTGACTGAGGCGGCACGCACCAGCCCAGGCTGCACCGGCCCAGGCTGCACCGGCCCAGGCTGCACCGGCTCAGGCTGCACCAGCCCAGGCTGCACCGGCTCAGGCTGCACCGGCCCAGGCTGCACCGGCTCAGGCTGCACCGGCCCAGGCTGCACTGGCCCAGGCTGCACCGGCCCAGGCTGCACCGGCCCAGGCTGCACCGGCCCAGGCTGCACCAGCCCAGGCTGCACCGGCCCAGGCTGCACCGGCCCAGGCTGCACTGGCCCAGGCTGCACCGGCTCAGGCTGCACCGGCCTGCAGCCCCGGAGGCCTCCTGTGCGGGAAGGCGTGGATAGGCTTCCAGGCTGGAGTGGGTCCCCTTGGTACACATTGTACTCTAAACTTTGTCATGTGTTTGAACTAGCCTCTCGGTGAGGAGCTGCCTTTAATTCGGTCCAGAAGGCGCGTGACTGACTGGCTTTGTTGTGTGTTGCAGAGCCCGGCAGGAGCGACCCTCAGGGCAGAGGACCATCCCCCCGCTCAGCCTCTGACAGCGCCCGCCGGGTGGAGCTCTGAGCTAAAGGACATTTTATTTTTTTTACTTTAGCACATAGGTTATATATTTGAAAATAATGTGCCTTTTGATGAATTGTTTTACCTTTCATGGTCTATTTGATATACAAAGGGCTAAATATTTTATTCTTAAAGAGACTTTTTGATTGCTGTTCATATATTTATCTGCTGGAGTATATCATTACAGTGAATACGTTTCAGACTGTGTATGCGGAGGAGGCAGGAAGACACGCTGTGTCAGTGTTCCTGAATGCTCGGCGAGGCTCAGTCCGTCTCGAAGGGCGGTTACAGACTCAGCACGCTGAATTTAGACGAGTTGGAGTGGATTGTGTAATTAAATCCCATAAATCTCCATGTCGGTTTTCCCTGGAAGAGAGGCGTTTTTAGAACGTTATACTTGTAAATGAAATGAGAGGAATCTACACCTTGGTATTATATAGAGATTGCCCTTTTCAATGTTGTATTACCCAATTTCTTGTGACGCTTTGATGGGAGGTTTGCTCATTTTTTTTCAACAATTAAAAATGCTCAGAATCTGTATTTCTGTGAATACTGGGTTCCCCATTGCCTATGTGGAAAAGCGATTAGTCAGTGACCAGTTTTCTCTGTAAAGGATGAATACAATATATTGGTTCCAACACAATCTGATATTTAAAACTGTAAGGGTGAAAGGGAGAACTTTTTATTGTTGTAACAAAGTAAACAGTGAGTTTCCTGATTAATTTTAAAGCAGACTAATAACCATGCCTTTGTTGAATCAACTACCCTTTTTGCTTTGTTTGCTGTTCTGGCTTGTAGGTGAAAGGAGCAGCAAATAAAAAGCATTTGGAGACTTAAGTTTCAGAAAGTGGTTAAATACACACACCCTGCTCTTCTGTCACTGGTTGGAGGTGGAAGTTGAAGATAAGGGAAGAGTTATTTTGTGGGTAAAAAAAAAATGTTTAGTAAGAAAATATATTTTAAAAAATTAAAAGAATTCATTTTTAAATCTATCTAATTCTAAGTTTTATTATGAATGGTAAATAGTTACTATGAGTGGTAAATAATAGTTTCTTCAAACTATTTACCACTCATAGTGAATTGAAGCACTTGGTGAGTGAGCAGTTTTACTAAAGTAAACGTTGGCCAGATTCAAGCTTAAGAAGCTACTGAAATAGAAAACTTGTCTCATTTGAGCTCTCATTCAGACAGACAGCCTCAAAGTGAGTGTCTGTGAGAGTCATTATCTTCAAGCTCTCCTTCTCTGGTTCATTGTGATCAGGGAAGTCTGCCCTGGGCTCCATACCAAATAGATGGTTTGCTGCTTCTCATTTGAAGGAGCTTTCTAGAACCCTGGTGGTGTGGTTCCGTTGGGTGAGCATGGTCCCATGCACCGAATGGTCACTGGTTCAGTTTCTGGTCAGGCACCTTCCCAGGATACAGGTTTGATCCTGCTCCTCGGTGAGGTGCGGGCAGGAGGAAGCTGATGGATGTTTCACTCTCCCTCTCCCTTTCTCTCTAAAAATCATTTTTAGATTTTTTTAAAAAAGAAACAGCCCTGACTGGTTTGGCTTAGTGGATAGAGCATTAGCCTGCGGAGTGAAGGGCCCCAGGTTTGATTCTGGTCAAGCACCACATCCCCAGTTCCTAACTCTATCCCTCTCCCTTCCTCTCTGTATAAAGTTAATAAAATGTATTTTAAAAAAGAAAAAGGAAACATACCGGGGAGAAATGATTTAACAATGTTTCCCAGTAGTCAGGCTGACTTTTAAAAGAACGCTGATTTCATCATCAGGTGTCAGATACAACTTTCCTTAATTCAGGTTTGAATTAAATTATAAACAGAAGGGATTGTGAGAACTGTAGTCTCATCTCTTCAATCGCAGGAAAAAAGATGCACTCTTCTTCAGAAGGAAACGGCCCTTTGGTAGGCAGGCGGTTTAATAAATATGAAGAGTCGGAAACTACCAGAATTTTGGCTGAAACGTCGAGGTGATAGACTAGCCGTGGCCAGGCAGCCAGTTGGTTGGAGCCAGACCGGATGGAAAAGGTTGCGGATTCACTTCCCCGGGGTGGGGCCTCGATGTTTCTCTAAAAACCAACGCAAACATGTCCTGGTGTGGGTTACAGGGCGCTGGGACATGGCTGTCCCTGGAGAAAGGGTGCCCTAGATCAGGTCATGTCAGCGGCGGCTGCCAACAATGCCAAGTGTTCCCTTTGACCTTCCAGGGCCGGTGGGGGAGGCGGCGGCCCGAGCTGCGCGGAGCGGGAGGCCCGGCAGGTGAGGCTCTTCAGGGCGTGTGCGCGGGGCGGGCGGGCGGGCGGGCAGGGCGCCCCGGTCACTGAGGAGTGATGACAGGAAAGGCCGAATTGCAGTGCCGCCGGCAGTTTGCTCTCTGCGGCCACGATGACAAAACCGCTGAAGCGAACCCGTCTGACCTCAGCAACGGACGGAGCCCCGGGCTGGCGGCTCCAGGTGAAACGGCGCCGGCCCAGTGAGGCCGCAGTGCCTGCTCACGCTGTGCCCGCGGGAGGCGCCGGTGCCCCTGCTCGGTGCCGGGGGGGGGGGGGGGGGGGGGGGGGGGGGGGGGGGGCACCCTGGTCCTCGCTAAGACAGCCAGTTAGGAACCACCTCCCCCTCCTACTGAGTTTCCGAACTTCTAAAAACAAGGATTTCATTTTCAAAAACACTGATGTGTACTGTAAAAGAAATTTCCTCAATGTCAACATGCAGCTGAAATGGACCATTCTAACGAGCAGGAAGCGGTAGTTGAGAATGGCATTTGCATTCATTTAAAATTAATGGAGGCAGAGCCAGCGGTGGCGGGCTGAGCTGCAGCTTGTGCGGGGCTTGAGGCCCGGCGCCTGCTCAGCGAGGGCAGTGCCAGCGGCCCAGGCCATGGGGCTGCTTCCCCGGAGCATCTGGTTGGCTCCTGAGAACAGCAGTGACTGCAGACAGACCAGACGGAAAGGGAAATCAGCCAAGTTCCCAGGTCTTGAACTTGAATGGATATGTAAAAAGTTCTTCCATGCATTGGTTTCCAGACCCTTAAAATGTGATCTTAAAGGGATATCACTCAAAATACTACTTAAAAGACAGAGGGTAAAAAAATGGATTTGCAGTCATTCGCATGGAAGTAATACAGTAACAAACAAGAATAAACTTCTGCCCCACCCTAGCTATGCGACCCTCCCTCCCCACCGGAAGGAGGGTCATCCCAGAATGCAGAGCAGTGCATGCTGCTTAGAATCCTGTGTGTGTGTGTGTGTGTGTGTGTGTGCGCGCGCGCGCGCTCTGAGATCAGTGAGGGTACCATTTCTTTCTTTCTTGCTTCCGTGAATAATCACTGTTAGAGAAGTGTATTTCAAATAGTTGTGATTTAGGGTCCCAGATATTCTTTTTGAAGTAACTTATTTTGCCCTGTTACTCAGTGTTGTCTTCTTTTTAACAGATGACTTGAAGACATGAAAGCAATTGGAACTAGGAAATCCAGAGAATTGAAGAGGTGGGGTTTTTTAAATAAATTGAATTTGAGTGCACTTAAAAGTTGACTGCACCGCCGGGACCGGTTTGGCTCAGTGGATAGAGCGTCGGCCTGCGGACTGAAAGGTCCCGGGTTCGATTCCGTTCAAGGGCATGTACCTTGGTTGCGGGCACATCCCCAGTGGGGGGTGTGCAAGAGGCAGTTGATCGATGATTCTCTCTCATCAATGTTTCTAACACTCTGTCCCTCTCAATTCCTCACTGTGTAAAATCAATAAAATATATATATATATTTTTTTTAAAGTTGCACCAAAAAAAAAAACACAAAGGACATCGCTGGGGCCTGGGGCTGCGCTCCCCCAGCGGGCAGTGGTGGAAACTGCAGTTACAAAGCATATGAATCATCAACTTTTGTTTCCCCAACGCTAATTTGCAAAACTGCGACGCCCACGATTAGGGAGAGGAATCGTGTCTGGAGGTGCCCCCGTCACATCAGCTTGGGTCCTCAGTTTAAGCAGATCTATAATAATAAAAGTGGAATATTTTTAAGTCCCTTCCATAAGGATATACCTGAGATCCAATTATAAACCTAGGAGTATTACTTCTTAATGTTACAAGATTAAAACTTGGCTTGATTTTCCTGAATTTTTGCTGAAGATTGCATTGGAAATGCCTGTTGAAGAGATTATCCCATATAATAAAACCCTAATATGCCAACCAACCAAATGGCAGAATGACCAGCTTCCATGACACGCACTGACCACCAGGGGTCAGGCACCCAATGACTGAGAGAGGCTACTGGTGGTGGCAATCGGGACAGGGCTGGCCAGCAGGTGCACTAGGCTGCCAGCCAAGGCGGGTGCCAATAGGGTCCCCTTCCCCAATCGCCCTGCCCACCAGTCACCCTGCAGATGGCCCTGGCACCAGGCAGGCCCAGGGACTCTACCCTCTATATTGGAAACAGTCTCTTAGATTTAAAACTTAAACTTGGCCAGGCTGCTCCAGCAGACAAAACGGTGACGCCTCGAGGACACACATGGACTTTGCTTGTGCATTGTGTGGTCAGTCAGATCCTGACACACCTGACAAAACCATCACTTACCTTCTCTCTGCTTCTGTTTTCCACCCGTAGGATGGGGAGATGGCATTACTGCCTCAGGGATCATGTCATGTACTGCTTTTTATAACCGGGACAAAATATGTAGCTGCCCATACAACAGCAAGATGCCGCTCACCGGTGTCAGACCCCTAGTTTCCCTATAAAATACAGTGGAGCCTTGGGCTTAAACTTAATTTGTTCAGAAGGCTGATTTGTTCTGAAACTGAACCATTTTCCCTTAGGAATAATGTAAGTGGAATTAATCCGCCCCAGGCCCCTGATCCATGCTGATGCACAGCACGTGTCTAACGCGCTGTTTACTATAAACACACTTCTCTGACATCCACCGAACCGCCTCCCGCTGAGCTTAAAGGAACCACGCCCCGCACTGGCCCAGGTGTCCGTCAGGCAGTCTGCGGCATCTTCGCTTGTTCACAGGGCACTGCCCGGAAATGCTGCCACGGCTAACGGCTCTTCCTTCACCAAATCAGCCAGTTTTCCCGGCTCTCCGTGCCTGAGCTCACTGCTGCTTTCACACCCTAGCAACAGTAGCACGCTTGATGCCTCTTATGTTTTAAAGTTGTGCTAATTGTCCATTTCACCAGCAACAGAACACAAAAATATTCACAGCTCAGCAGTCAAAAACCAAAGTTTGGTTCCACAACCGAGACATTTTTCCATTGAAACTGAATTGTTTGAGATGAGAGACATTTAAGGTTTGATGGTATATGCTTTGAAAATACGTTGGTACATGAATAATTTTTTACAATTCAAGAAAAAAATGCATTCTGATCATAGAGTTTATAAAAAACAACTTTAATATAAGGCACTGCTGTCCAGTTACCGCGGACCTGAGCCCACAGGCCGCCCTCCCGCACCCCAGCAGAGGGCAGTGCCCCCGCGGCAAGCAGCTTACAGGGCGAGTCCTCCCCACAGCATGGATGAGGCGTCTCAAAAATCACATCCTAGACTAAGATCAGAACCAAAGAACAGCTCAAGAAAAACAACAGAAAACCATACCAGCTATAATAACACTGACCAAGGTTTCTAAGAGTTCCCGTGTTTATAAGAGGCCCAGGAAATGAATTTATTCTTATTGTATCTGTTAAGTCCTCAAAACAAGAAAGGATGAAGTTACAAGTATGTCCTCGGTTCAAGCTCTGCTTAATGAGAAGTAATGGGTTCAGGGACCCACCTTCTGCTTGCCACGTGACCCAGAAACATTCAACAGATTTCACCTCAAGGTCAGTACAAGCAAGTCTTAGCCTTCATTTTCTCTCACTGAAAACGTTTTAACATCGGAACCTGAGGAAAGCTGGATTCTTGACTTAATCAGTAGCCTCCATTTGTTTTAACAAAAACACCTTGCTTTTTAGTGCTAAGGACCTCACCTATTATTTGCAACAATCTTTCTTTTGGATAACCATTCCTTCTGTAAGACACCTAAAGACATTTTTCCAAGTTCTTACCAAAAATTCTTCTGAAGGAGAAAGTCACCCAGAAAAGTAAAACTTTGCTGTAAATAGCTAAAGTGTTGTTTTTTATGTATTATAACAAACAACCCACTCGGGGGTCTAGCAGGTAAAACTGACATCACAGCCCCGCGAACACAGGTGGTGCTGACGAGGCACTACTTTGACATTTTGGTCTCGGGAGGCGTGTCCCCCGTGTCCAACGTCTTCAACAACCGGAAGAGGCCGGCAGCTTCTCGGATCCTACTGAACTCGATGCAGAATGCCTGCACTTCTATAAACAAGTCCTGCACGTTAATGATTTTGTTACGGATCAAGGATTGGAGAAAGACACACACAAGACGCACCAAACGATTCTGAAAAAGAAAAGAAAACTTTAGTGTGCCCATTTGCTTGGCAGGTTATTTATGAAATTTACTAAAATTCCTATTAGTTACCTGCATATACTTATCCTTAATCTGTTCACAAGTAGAGATGCAATTGGATATATAAAGGTGGATGAACTCGGGAGGTAGGTCAACAGCTGTAGTCAGTCTGTTTCAGAGTAGAAAAGTAGGGTGGTTTTATATGCTACATCCAAGAATACCATAAAATACCACATTTCCTTTAGTCATTTAGTGTAAATCTCTGATGACCAATTTACCTAGTTTTAAATATACTTATGTAAATAAGACTGAGAGCCATGCCAATCTGCTAATAAATGACACTTGTATTTTCTAAGTGTCACTTTGCATTATGCATTGTAAGCACTCATTAAGCAACCAATTCTGTGAGCAGTTCGGTTATTTCTTCCAAGTTCTAATAACCTTGACAATGATTCCATTCATTCACTAAGCCCCGATTAAGTGCTATATGCAGTGTGTGAGGAAGGTGGAAGTTTAGCAGCTAAACTGTAGAATACAATTTACGGGCTAAAATGAGGCACTTGCCAAAAGTAATGATGAAGTGAAAAGTGCTGGGGAAGTCTTAAAAGGAGAAAGGCCTTCAGCTGACATGTAGGCAGAGGTGTGGATGGTCTGAGTAAGGCTGGAGCCTGGGGTCACAGGGTGCTCATGACCTCCCCTTCGGTCTCCTGGGGCAGGCGGCACTGGCGGACGGCTAACAGGCAGGGAATGGGAGGTCAGCTCAGAGTCTCGGGAAGCTGGTATTTTAGAGAGGACTCCATGGAACATTTCTGGGAAAATTAAAACAAGGTATGCATGCTAACTACACACATGCATTTCGGGAAGAAACAAAACGTTCCTAAGTCCAGAGCTTTATCCACTGATGCTGGGAACCTCCACCAGAGCTGCTGACCACCGCTGCTTCACACTCAGGGGACTGCGGAGGACTGGTCAGGGCACAGAGCGCAGACCTTATTCTTGAGATTCCTGAGTGGTTCTCAGACTCGGTGCCAATGTCCGCAGTAACTTCCAGGAGATCGTGGCGAGGGGAAGACTGAACCTTCGCTCGGTCAACCCCATGAACTTGACGGAATTCAGCCCGAAGCAGAGGCTCTAATGGTACAGGAGGCCTCGGGGAGAAGGCAGACCGAAGCAGCGAGTTTTAAATGCCAGCTCGCCAGCTGTGCAAGGACAGCTGAAACCCCACTGCTCTTCCCTCTACTTGGGGGTCACCTGGCTTCAGTTACATGTTTTTCTCTACTTGATTAACTTAAAAGGACATTTTTTTTTAATATGGAACGCCTCACGAATCTGTATGTCATCTTTGCGCAGGGGCCATGCAAATCTGTGTCGTTCCAATTATAGTGCAATGGAGGCCCGTGCACAAGTTCGTGCATTTGGGGGGTCCCCTCAGTCTGGCCTGAACCCTCTCAATCCAGGAGCCCCCAGGGTGTCCTACTGCCAAGGAGGTGGGAGGCTCTCACCACTGCCACTGTGCTCACCAGTCGTGTGCCCAGCTCAGGGCTTCTGGCAGAGAGAGCTCCGCATTAAGCGTCTGCTGCCCGGTGATCAGTGCATGTCATAGCAACTAGTCATTTGGTTGATTTGCATATAGAATTAATGCTAAAAAGTTGAAATCCTACCTTCTGGGTTCTTTCCTGGGGATATTAAATTCACATGCAGTGGAGACTAAGGCTCAGATTATTATTTACTGGGTTGTCTCAGGCTAAGACGAGAAGAAAAACTCTGGCAGTTTTTCCCTGCTGGCCATGTAACCGGCCTCTACATGCCCCATCTGACCACGCGTGGGCACTTACCGGTTCACCACCTCCATGGAATGTAAAGACATGTCCATGTTGACCAGGACGGAGAAGTACTCGGTGATCTGGCTGGACTGCATCAGCTTCAGCAGCATCTCTATGGCGACGAGAGGGTTGTTCTCCACCAGGTCAGGAAGCTTGGCTGGCGTGAGGCCAATGTGATAAACAAGTTTGGGATCTTTTTCCAACTCACCAAGGAGCTGGGGGGAAAAAAAAAAAAAAAAAAAAAAAAAAAGAGGTTCTTGAGTCAAAATAGGCATTCTCTTAGCTGCCTACAAAAACACACATTTTATTTACAAACAGCTACAAACTACCTGCATTGAACCAACTTCATAAATTTCTTCCCTGACATCCATGATCATAATGATTTGATATTTTTCAATTTGCATTTGAATTATGATTTTAAAACATAAACATTATTACTTTTTCCTCACCTGAGAATATGTTTTATTGATTTTGAGAGAGAGGGAGAGAGAGAGAGAGGGAGGCATCACTGGTGGCCTCCTGTGCGTGCCCTGACCAGGGATCGAACCAGAAACAGGAAGGTGCCCTGACTGGGAGTCAAACCCACCATCTTTTTGGTGTACAGAGTGACCCTCCAATCAACTGAGCCACTCGTCCAGGGTGAGAAATTAAGACAGTTTATAAATATGCCAGAATTAATATTGTCTGGTTGAATGAAATATTTGTCTGGATTGTAATAACAATCCTTTGTGTGTTTCTTTTTCTCTCAAAAATAATTTATCAGCCATAGCTGGTTTGGCTCAGTGGATAGAGCATTGGCCTGTAGACTAAAAGATCTCAGGTTTGATTCCAGCCAAGGGCATATGCCTTGGTTGCGGGTTCAATCCCCCGTAGGGGGCATGCAGGAGGCAGCCGATCAGTGATTCTCTCTCATCATTGATGTTTCTATCTCTACCTCACCCTTCCTTTCTAAAACCAATAAAATATATATTTTTAAAAATAATTTACCAACTAGTTCCCCTAAAAAACCCAGACCATAGAGAACTGAAGGACATCTAAAACAGCTGCACAGCCCCACTCCAAGTGGGAAAAGGAAGCCCAGAGAGGGAGCAGGCTGGGGAGGGGGGGAGCTGACTGAGAGAGAGGGAATAGACTGGGGAGAGGGAGGAGCAGGCTGGGGAGGGGGGAACAGGCTGGGGAAAGGGGAACAGGCTGGGGGGGGGGGGGGGGAACAGGCTGGGAGAGAGGGAACAGGCTGGGGGGGGGGGGGAGCAGGATGGGGGAAGGGAGCTGCCTGGGGAGGGGGGGAGCAGGCTGGGGGGGAGGGGAGCAGGCTGGAGAGAGGGGAAGCTTTCTTGCAATCCACCCATTAGCAGTATTTATGGTTCAAGTCATAAGCATACTCTGTAATTAAAAAACCACCTTTCCTGCACACTAGTCCATCTCTTTTACTTCCAGGTTGTCCACGCTGTGCCTCTGTGCTGTGTGTCCCTGGGCTGTGCTCGGACGGCCTAGCGGGAATCGATCCTTCACCAACTGCCCTGCCTCGGAGCGGAGGAGTGGTGGACCGCCTGGTTCCCATGTGGATGTGCAACCTGAACGGAGTCCCTGCCTTTCCATCCAGGGCAGCGCGCCCGTGAGCCTCAAACCCACCACCACCAGCGGTGTGATGGGGCGCGTCACCCCACCTGCACGTCCCTCTCCCTCCGACAGCTGGAAAGCCACTCACCCTGGCACATAGCGGGGACTGCCCGGCTGGCACATGGCAGGACTGCCCGGCTGGCACACGGCGGGGGGACTGCCCGGCTGGCACACAGCGGGGGGACTGCCCGGCTGGCACACGGCGGGGACTGCCCGGCTGGCACACAGCGGGGACTGCCCGGCTGGCACACAGCGGGGGGACTGCCCGGCTGGCACACGGCGGGGACTGCCCGGCTGGCGCACGGCGGGGACTGCCCGGCTGGCACACGGCGGGGACTGCCCGGCTGGCACACAGCGGGGAGACTGCCCGGCTGGCACACAGCGGGGACTGCCCGGCTGGCACACGGCGGGGGGACTGCCCGGCTGGCACACGGCGGGGGGACTGCCCGGCTGGCGCACGGCGGGGACTGCCCGGCTGGCACACGGCGGGGACTGCCCGGCTGGCACACGGCGGGGGGACTGCCCGGCTGGCACACGGCGGGGGGACTGCCCGGCTGGCACACGGCGGGGGGACTGCCCGGCTGGCGCACAGCCGGGGGGACTGCCCGGCCGGCACACGGCGGGGACTGCCCGGCTGGCACACGGCGGGGACTGCCCGGCCGGCACACGGTGGCAGCCAGGGGCACACAAACAAGCCCCCGCTCCCGGAGTCACTGACCCCCAAACACACTTCGTGCCCCTTAGCCATCAGCCTCTGCCACGGCGGGCGGCCGGGACCCCACGCTCCCCAGTGCTGGCTCCGTGCGCAGATCCGTGACGAGAGAAGGGTGAGAGCTCACCTGTGTTTGCTGAGGAGAGGATAAGGGGCTTTTGAAGGCTTTGGCCATGATGCGCTTGATCTCCACACCCGTGCTGTTCTTGACGCACATGGACTTGTCCCACTGAACGGCGTGGTCGGGCTCCGTGGGGTTCAGCCAGGCCAGCTCGTCCTCACAGATGTGGAGCGGGGGCGGGGGGCGGATGAACTCCGGCCGAAAATGGCCTGTGAACGAGACGGGGCGGGACTGCTCTCAGCGAGCGTGCGTGCGTGCGTGCGTGCGTGTGCGTGCGCGTGCGTGCGCATCGCACACACGCTCCACTCAGTGAAGGCCGCCGCGTGAGCCGAGGGCGCGGCGGCTTGCGGGCCGGAGAGGGCGGAGACCACCCCTGTGCTTTGGAGAAGGGCACATGGCAGACACGCTTCACTGGAGCGGGCACCGCTCACCGGCAAAGGGCAGCTCGTGGTGGGAAAAATGAAACCGCTGGATCGCCTGGGCTTCTCAGCCTCCGAGCGAGAAGGCAGTCACACGGAGATGAAATGTGTGGCTGCCAGGGGCCGAGTGCTGACGTGCGAACAAGGTCACGGGGCTCAGTGGCGGAACAGTGACCTATGAACCAGGTTCCATTCCTGATCGGGGCACACGCTAGGGCTGCGGGCTCCATCTCCAGTTGGAGGCGTGTAGGAGGCAACTAGTCAATGATTCTCAATAGCGATGTTCCTACCTCTTTCCCTCTCTCCCTACCTCTGAAATCAGTGAAAATATATTATTTTTAAAATGTGTGGTTGACTTGACATTTTCAAAGGAATCTTCCATAAATTCAGAAATACCATATTCATTTTCATAAAACGGTAAAAGTACAACAGGAAAATAAAGGGACTCAACATGTCAACTGTTTCATAAACGTGACTAAGTCAGAAACCACTAAACATGCCGGGGCCTCTGCCAAACCACCGCCCTCACAAGGCCCTCACCCGGCCACGGCCGCTCCCTGTGGCCCCAGCCCGAGACCCGCGTGCTCTGCTCCCCGAGGCTGCTCTCCGGCCGGGAGGTAACCCTGTGCCAGCGCCGCCTCATCTCCATCAGAACGAGCACCTGGTCCTGCCCACCAGAACCCGCGCTCCGAGCACCCGTGGGAGGGAGCTGTGCCTGCCCGGTCCACAGGCCTCTGCCACCGCCCCGGCCCACGCGTCCCCTGGGCCTGGCACGCGTGAGCTGCATGCCGGGTGCGTGAGCTCAGGACGCCTGTGACCAGCGAGACTTCAGTATCGCCAGACGCCAGACTTACTGCCCACGGCAGTCAGCGTGGTGTCGGACGCGTGGGGCCCCTCAGCAGAAAGCAGGCCCCCCAGGAAAGCCGCAGAAGCCTCGACACCAAAAGATGCTGCTCTCACACTGCACTCCAACCGGTGCTGTCTGAATTAGGAACTATGAGATCAGGAACTCTACAATGGGGAAATTAGTGACAGTGATAAAATTAATGAAGAGGCATAACAACAAGCTTCAACATAGTCTCATTTCAGTAAAATCAGGAGAATTTATATCTTCACATATGCTGATGACAGATATGTATAAATTATCTGGTATGTGATTTTATTACAGAAGGTAATTTTACCAAGCATCTCTGCTGTGCTCCAGACCCTATATTGAGAAGTTTCTCATTAGATTCTAGTTTAAGCAGCAATGAAAACCATGTTTTAGAAAAGCAACTCAGGACGATGAGAAAATAAGACCCAGAGTATAAAATTTGTACCTACTTTCAATTGGCGGCTTCGGTCCGCTGACTAACGCTTCCGTGATCTGAGAGGCAACGGAGCTGTCGAATCCTGAATTAGAGGAGTCGGGGTCGGGGTCACTGAGAATACTGGGGAAGCTAGCCTTGCTTTGGGTGGGCAATTCAGACTGGCGTTCTGAAAAGGTCAAAAAGGGGAGATTTTAAAATCATGGGCGCCTCAAGAACGAACAGGCTACTAACTGCAGAAAGCTACCTGCACCACATTAGCAAAGGGCCAGATTCAGAATATGTGTGTTTTTCTTCAAAACTCCTACAAATCAACTTTTTAAATATATTTTATTTATTGATTTTTTACAGAGAGGAAGGAAGAGGGATAGAGTTGGAAATAGATATCTATCAGCTGCCTCCTGTACACCTCCAACTGGGGATGTGCCTGCAACCAAGGTACATGCCCTTGACTGGAATCGAACCTGGGACCTTTCAGTCCACAGACCAATGCTCTATCCACTGAGCCAAACCGGTTAGGGCACAAATCAATTTTTTTAAATGGGAAAACATGGGCTAATGACTTCAACAAGCACTTTATTTTTAAAAACCAAAAGCCTGGACCTGGCTGGTGTGGCTCGGTTGGATGGAATGTTGTCCCGTGCACCAAAAAGGTCCCCGTCGGGGCACATACCGAGGTTGCAGGTTCAATCCCTGGTCGGGGTGTGTGAGGGAGGCAACCAATCGGTGTTTCTCTCCCTCCCTCCCCCTCCCTTCCTCTTTCTGAAAACTCCATTAAAAAATGTCCTCAGTGAGGATTAGAAATAACAAAAACAAACAAAACCCATAAACCCTGAATGGCCAACGAACACATGAAAAGAATTCCCAACCCTATCAGGAACCAGGGAGAAGCCAGTTAAAACACAAGGCGTGCTCCACGCCACCAGACTGGCAGAGATGAACAGCCTGGCATTATCAAGTGCAGAGGAGGCTGCTGGGTGGCTGGCACCCTGACACAGCGACTCGGAAACCAGTTCCCACTACCCGCTCAGTCTCAGGAGAGCTTATCATCCCAGCCAGCAGACACTGCCATGCATGCTCAGGACAATATCCGCAATGTTCACAGCACCATTACGTCCATCAACTGGAGAGCAGATGAACATGTATTCCACCACATGGAGTATAGGCTTATAAGTCATCAAAAACCAATCTAATTGCAAAGTGGGCGGCCTGGCCAATGGGTGTGGCTCAGTGTTCGGGCATCACGGGTGCCCAGTCCAGGATCAGTACCTGGTTGTAGGTTTGCTTCCCGACCCGATCCCAGGGGGATGCAGGAGGCAACCAATTGATGTGTTTTTCTCACATCAATGTTTCTCTTTCTTTTTTAAATTATTTTTTTATTGATTTCAGAGAGGAAAGGAGAAGGAGAGACAGAAACATCAGTGATGAGAATCATTGACTGGCTGCCTCCTGCATGTACCACTGGGGATCCAGCCCGCAACCCGGGCATGTGGCCTCATCCTGGTTCATAGCTCAATGCTCAACCACCGAACCAGGACAACCGGCGCACACATGTGCGCGCGCGCTCTCTTTCTCTTCTCTTTCCCTCCCTCCCTCCTCACACCTTCCTCCCCTCCACTCTCTCTAAAAAAAAAAAAATCAGCCGAAACCGGTTTGGCTCAATGGATAGAGCATCAGCTTGGGGACTGAAAGGTCCCGGGTTCGATTCCAGTCAAGGGCATGTACCTTGGTTGTGGGCATAGGGCATGTACCTTGGTTATGGGCACATCCCCGGTAGGGGGTGTACAAGAGGCAGCTGATCGATGATTCTCTCTCATCGATGTTTCTAACTCTCTATCCCTCTCTCTTCCTCTCTGTAAAAAAATCAATAAAATATATTTTTTAAAAATCAATGGAAAAAATATCCTCTGGTGAGGATTAACAAAACAAAACAAATCCAAAACAATGGGCAAATAGTCTGAATTCCCGTTTTCCCAAAAAAGGACAGGCGGCCATGAAAAGATGCTCAGAGTCACTAATCATCAAAGAAACGCAGATCCAAACCACAATGAGAGAGAGAGAGAGAGAGACAGACAGACAGACAGACAGACACGTCAGAACAGCTGTCAGCAAAACATGAAACCTGGCTGGGTATTTCAGTGGGTTAGAGCGTCACCCCCATATGCCAAGTTGTGTTTGATCCCCGGTCAGGACACATACAAGAAGCAACCAAGGAATGCATAAATAAGTGGAACAATAAACCAATGTTTTATTTTCTCTCTCTCTCTAAAAAAGAAAATTAAAAAAAAAAAGGCTTGGTGGTTGAGCTTTGACCTATGAACCAGGATGTCACAGTTCGCTTTCCCATCACAGCACACGCCCAGGTTGTGGGCTCAATCTCCAGTGTGGGGCGTGCAGGAGGCAGCCGATCAATGATTCTCTTTCATAATTGATGTTTCTATCTCTCCCTTTCCCATCCTCTCTGAAATCAATAAAAATGTTTTAATTCTTAAATTTCAAAATATATATTTTTAAAAAGTTGAGATGATAAATGCTGGCAGGGATAGAGAGAAAAGGGAACCTTCTGTACTGTTAGAGGAAATGTAAATTGGAAACGATCATTGTCTCACTAATACCCTGTTTCCCCGAAAATAAGAGTGTTTTATATTAATTTTTGCTGCCAAAGATGTGCTAGGTCTTATTTTCAGGGGATGTCTTATTTTTCCATGAAGAAGAATACGGTACACATTTATTGTTAAATGAAAATAAAGGAAATTTATTACCTGTATATGGTACAGTAGTACGGTAGTTGTCAACACAAACCAGACAGTGAATCCTACAGTATCAAGAATTTACTCATTTATTCAATGACAATCATGTCATCATCTTCTGGAACATCATCATAACAATCCAATTCCTGAATTTCCTGGTGAATTTCTTGTGACTCCATTTCTTTCAGAATCAGTGGACCAAATCTCTCATGTTTAGCAATAGCATTCTGAGACAGAGCCTAGGGGGCCTTGTTTTCGGGGGATGTCTTATTTTCAGAGAAACATGGTAGAAAGATGTGGACAGGAAAACCGAGGGCTGGTCAATCTTAATGGGTCTGAAACGTCAGAGCTAATCACTATTTAGTTGAGACATGGTTAGCTGAAGCAGCCTCCACCTGTCTTATGTAAATTTGTTATTAGTTTCTTGCCTAAAGGCTATGGGTGTATCCCAGTCTCAATGAAAGGGATAGCAAGGCCAGAGCAGGGGGTAGTCCTCCCGCCTGGCCCCCGATTTCCCAAATTAATACTTTTCTAAGTCTTTTTCATTTGTGCGCGGCCTTCTTCAGAACCCGAACCCTGAACCACACTCGACGTGAAAGGTGTTCCCACAAGACAGTATGGAGGTTCCTCAAAAAATTAAAAATAGAGCTACCATATGATACAGCAATTCCATTTCTGTGTGGAAACACACACATATATACACACACACACACTCATACCTTTGGCCCATGGATCCCACTGAGAGATCTGAGTTTCAGGCCTCTGTAAAGAGGATCTGCCTTTTCTCTTCCCCCACGTGGGAAATGATTGGCTTGTGACATCTTAAATTTGGGTAGGGGACAGCAAGCAGCAGGCTTAGCTAGCCATTCAGCCAAGCTTCTCAATCCTACTCTAGTCATATATTTCTTTCTGAGCTTGACATACTTTAAAACTTCTCGCAGGCTGCCTCAAGCCATCACAAGTGGAGAGGCCACATTTGGTTCTCACGTTATTGAATACAAAGCTAGCATCCTTAGACATGTATCACCTGGGAAGGGAAGGTCACTGAAAGTGTCTATCACCTCTGTACCCTGTTTTCATACTACCTTTGGTTCTGGAAATAATCATCTTATTTCTATTAACAGATTGTATCTGGCACTAGAGAATAAGCACTTCTGTGTACCTTCAATCTTTTTTATTTATTTATTTATTTTTTTGCAGAAACCAGTGAATTTCTGGTGGAGTTTCCTTACAATGGTGGTGCCTGGCTCAGGGCTGGCCAGGGCTTCTGCGGTGGGGGTAGAAACAAGAAAGTTTAAGGCTGAGGCGCTGCTATGTCCTGGATGCAGCAACCTGGAAAATCATGTTAATCAGGAGACAAAAATCCCTCTACTCTGCACTCAAAGAAAACAAAACAAACAAACAAACAGAAAAACTTTTTCTGGACTTCAAAACAAAACCATTATTACACTGTTAATACCCAGTCGTGAAGTGAGGTCAGAATACAGCAAGGAAAACGCAGTTTCCGGGAAGGTGTCACCTTATATAAGCGACCAAATGTCACAGGTGCAGTTAGTCTAAGGCTGGGCACTGCCAGAATTAATACGTGGCTCATTCAGTCACAAGGTCAAGGGCTCACAAATCTGGCTCCATATTAGTCTCCCTGATGAGTCCCTCTCAGCGGTGAACCCACACACCTGTCCTGTTAGAAGCAGGCGCCTCTGCTCCTTCACTCCGCCTACCCAGTTCAAGAAGGCCTCCCTACTTTCTTCACAACACACTTCTGTTTCAAGAGGATGCCCTGTGAAAGAAAAGAGCCACATGCTGACCTGACAAGCTCAAGGAAGGCCTGCGTGGCGGTCTTGCAAACCCAGAGACCTAAGATAACCACAAAAGATGGTTTGAAAATTAAATATCTAACAGGTTATAGTAGGTAGTCATGTCCCAGAGATTTCACCTGACAAAGATCAACTTTGATCTTTTACTGAGCCCCTCTGCCTTCCAGCATCTAAGATAACATATCTGTGAGATGTCTGGGTAACTTGTAACTTCCTTTTTACCCTGGACCCCTCAGGGCACAACAAATGGCCTTGAGACATTCCCTCATTGTTATTGTTATCAAGTTAATTGTCAACTGTTAATCATGTTAGAGTATCCTGTATCCATCTCTGTGAAAGCTCATGTCCATCATCAATGAATTTCATGTAACTCACCTACATCCCTTTCCTTTGATTGCAATGTATAAATATAGAAATGCAACCCGCCATTCTCTGGAGCATTATCTCAATCCGTTGAGGTTCTGTTTCCCGGCATATGACGACAGTTTGGCTCGAATAAACTAAAAAAAAAATTCTTTACGGGTTTCAATGGTTTTTCATTAACACCATGCATTTGCTTCTATGTGTAGCACAGAAGTTGCCCAAACAACCTTGAAACAGAAGGACAAAATGGAGGTCTTGCACTTCCTATTCTCAAAACTCATTACGAAGCCACTATACCCAAGGGTGGCACCGGAATAAAGAGACACACAAGCCATGATACAGAATAGAGGTGCCAGGAATAAACCCTCCCAGGTATGGTCAAGTGACTTCCAACAACGGTGCCCAGAGAACACCGTTCTGGCTACTCAGCATTCTTTGAGATTCCATATGAATTTTATGATGGGTTTTTCTATTTCTGTAAAACATAGCTTTTATAGGAATTGTATTGAATGTGTGATCTCACTCTGAGCAGAACTGACATGAGGAACATTTTTGTTTTTAACAGACTAAATTTAATTCAGTGTTCTTCTTAAATTGAAAAAGCAACCCATTCAAGTGAAAACTCAAAATGAACCCAGATTATAAATTCTCGTCTCTTGAATTCCCCATGTTTCTATCCTACACTCCACAGCTGCACAAAATCTCTCAGCTTCTGATTCCAGATTTAAGATGCCCAATACTCCAAGTTCCCTGAGACCTGCAGGGCTCCCCCTCCCACCTCCACCTCCCCTCAGTACCCAGCAAAAGCACTGGAGCTGCGTTTTTCATGGAAAATACTAATCTTTTCGCACAACCACAGACCTGCATGTTAAGCAGAGTAACTTAAGAAAAAAGTCCTTATAGAATACACGAAAATGCCCAGATCACCAACCCCTCCTCACCAGCCAGGGCCAGCTGAAGCCCGCTGATGTCCACGGACTGGCCCATGCTTCCCACGTCCATCAGCGCGATCTGCCGCGGGGTCTTCTTGAACAGGTCCCGGGGGGGGGCCAGCATCAGCTGGGAGAGGAAGAACTTCTCCGGCGGAGTTATAGGCGGTAAAAACCCTGCAACACAGATGGAGAACATTCCTCCAGCGGTTACTGTGACAAACTCACATGAACCTGGTAAAATTAGCATTTGCTACTTGCCATCTCAACTTGTGTATGTTTAAAGACAAAATTATTTTAAGTTTCAGTTACCGGTACTTAACTATGTACATTTATGAAAATGTAATTAAAAGTCATTTGAAATGCTCATTTGTGGCAATTAGCAATGAAACTTAAGATTTCTGTAATTAAGAATTATGTTTTTACATGCCTCAATTCCTGCAAAGGCTAAAGCTTCTGTACGGCAAGCGAGAACAGATTTAAAACTACAACTTTCTGAAATGCTTTTCCTCTGCCACCAGCAACCGTGTGGGTTAGAGCGACAAGGAAGCAGTCGCCAGCAACGCCAATGACTCCCCTCCGCGCCTCAGCACACGGCCAGCTGCCGTGTCCCGGCTGCCGCTGCTCCTTTGGTCCAAGTTCAACTGCGCACCAAGCCCCATCCATCCCGCCAAGCAGCACTGCCAGGCCCGCGCCCACTGCCCATTCCCTCTCCCCCTCCTGCCTGGACCACACACGGGACAGCCTTCCTGGTTTCCCACGTGCCCAGTTCTCACTCCTGCTGACCAGTACCCACAGTCCACACTTAGCTTTTAGTTAAGATTTCTAGGAACAGCCAAAACCGGTTTGGCTCAATGGATAGAGCGTCGGCTTGGAGACTGAAGGGTCCTGGGCTCGATTCCAGTCAAGGGCATGTGCCTTGTTTGCAGGCTCATCCCCAGTAGGGGGTGTGCAAGAGGCAGCTGATTGATGACTCTCATCGATTTTTCTAACTCTCTATCTCTCTCCCTTCCTCTCTGTACAAAATCAATAAAATATATTTTTTTAAAAAAGATTTCTAGGAACAAATCTGCTTACACTCTTGTTACACTGCTTAATGCTGCAGCTGCACAAAATCTCTCAGCTTCTGTTCAGATTTCAAAACCCCCAATACTACACCTGCAGGTCCCCTGCCCGCTCACTCCCTCCCTCCCACCCACAACCTCCACTCAATACCCCAGGCAGCTGTCCGTGCTCCAGCATTCTGGAGGTGACACTGTGGATGGGGGTTACCTCTCCCCAGCCAGCCTACAACTTTGATTATAGGGAAGCCTTCTTCTTTACTTCCAGAAGCATTCTCACCCTGGCTCCGCATCAGAATCGTCAAAGTTTACAACGGGCACCATCAGAGGCTCACCCTAGGCACCGTGCCTTCCCCCTCGGCACCCACTGCCTGTTTAAGCGCCATCCCTAGCTAACTTAATAAAAGTAGTACTGATAGTGGGCAGCACTTACCAAGAGACTTTTATTCCTCATAATAATTCTATCAGCTAGGAACTGTCTGCATTTTCAGATAAAAAACTCAGGTATAGAGAAAAATAAGCAACCCAAGGACTCCTTCCCTGGGAAAAGTGTGTTTGCAGTGAAATCTACTGTCCACATTTAGGTTCAGACTCCTCAGATTTGAGAATGACATCACATACATCATTCCTCCTTTGTCTAGCCTGTCTGAGGAATTCAAAGGGCTTGTGACCCAAATCCCAACCTGTCCCTTCCCCATCCTCTCCGGGCACCTGGGGGAGGAGGGAGACACATACACATGCTGCATCCTCTCTCGGGCCTTCCCAAGCTTCCTGAAAGCCGGTCTAAGGCCCCTCGTCCACCGCAGGCTCCCTCCGGGTCAGCGGGGCAGGAAACAGGCCAGATGCTGTCCTCCGGGCTCCGGGCGGGGCCCAGGAGAGCTTACCGCGGAGCCCGCGGGCCGTGAACTCCCTGGCGTTAGCTATCCCAAGCCCAGGCCTTAACCTGACTCCCGCAAGCACTGCCTTTCCCCATGGAGTTAGACCAAGAGCTCCCCTGCACGCCGGTCCTGGGCTGTCCCCCAGGGACCCTCGCACCCCTGTGAAATTTCCTCTCTGGCTGCGAATCGCATAAAGCATCAACAGCTTAAAAAATAAATAAAGAGGTGGTCTCCCATAGACCCCTCGACGTGAGCTCACACATGAGATGTTACCGGCACCTTCTGAATCCCCCGGCAATCACGCGTCCTCGGACCGAGGCCTTGACCCTGAGCCGACCCCCTGCTCCCACCGCAGTCTCCCAGGCTCCTAACCGCCGGCGAGCTGGTGCGTTTCCAGACGCCAGCTGACTGTTCCGCCACTCCGCCTCGGGCTCTGAGCAAGGCCCGGTTACGGGAGGCTGGCAGCCGGGCAGGCCACGCGTCCGCAGAGCCTCACGCCCTCGGGCGGGTTTTTAAGGAACTAAACGCGTCCAGCCCCGCGGGCCGGGCCGGGCCTCGGAGGCGCATCCTCGGCGGCAGGGCCTGCCGCTACGCTCCGGCCGCCGGGCCGGGGAGGGTGGCGAGCGAGTCGGGCGGCCCGGCCCGCGGCCCCGCAGCCCCTCCCGCCCCCGGCGGCCCCCACCTGAGAGCGGCGGCCGGTCGGGCTCCTGGCCGCCGCGGGCGGGCGGCGCGGGGTTGAGCAGGTGCGCGAAGCTGGCGGCGAAGGGGTTGGCGGCGAGCGGCTCGGTGCGGTACATCTCCCAGAGCAGGTAGAGCGCCGTGAGCCGCTGCGCCGCGCTGGGCAGCAGGTCGGGCTGCTGCAGCAGCAGCACCAGCACCGAGCCCAGGCGGAAGTGGTCCGCCTTGCTGAAGTAGTGGTGGAAGGCGGTGGACAGGCCCTCGAACGTGCTGCCGCCGCCCGCCTCCTCCGAGATGATGCTCAGCAGGCTCGACAGCTCCTTGGGGCTCAGGCTCATCCTGCCCGCGGGGCCCGCGGGGCCGCCACCGCCCGGCCCGGGCCCGCTCGCTGCGCCTCTGCCGCCGCCTGAGCCCGCCGGGCCGCCCCTGGAGGCCGCCGCCGCCTCGCGGGCCTCGCCTTGCTCCGCGGCCGTGGAAAGCCGGCCGGTCGCCGCGCCCGCCCCGCCGCGCATCCACCTCGCCCGCCGCAGCGCTCCCCGCACCGCTCCCGGAGTGGCTCGGCGCCGGCTCCGCGCCCGGCCGTAAAGCGCGCCCTCACGACAGCGTCGCACGCTGAGCCGGGAAGCCAAACCGCCACCACGTAGAGGGGGAGGAGCAGGACGGAGGATCCGGAAATGGCGTCGCGGGACCGGAAGTAGGCCGGGGCCTTGCGTCACCTCCCCCTCACCCCCAGCACATCCGGCCTGCCGCCCGCGTGAGCGAGCTCCCGGCGGCTGCCGCGCCGCACAGTCGCGGTAAATGTTGTCAAGAAAGAAATGTTCAAACCTTTTTAATGTTTTATTGGTTCTAGAGAGAGATCACGGGTTTATGAGTTGATTTCAGCTAAACTGACAATTGCTGGGAAGCAAAACCTCAAGGGATTGAGAACACGCTCAGGAAACCGGCACTGTGAACCTTATTTTTTGCCATTAGAGGACGTTAGGTTGGCTACCTAAACCCCATTGCTGACAGATAGGGAGGCGGGAGAAAGGGGAGCCTCGGGAGGGGCAAGCAGTGAAGTGAGACACATGCTGCTTTTATGTAGGCGCGGCAGGGCGGCCACCGTCAGCTACTAAGACGCGAGGACCCGGGTCCGCTCCGGTGGACGCCTGGGGCTGCGGAAAAGGGAAGTTTCTTAGTTATCGCCCAGGCGTGTTATCAGGTCTGTTATCCCTAAATGTATAAACAACCGACGGGCTCTGTGAGGGGAAAATAGTTTAAAGGTTTTAATTTCACACCATCCTGGGCGGCTATTTCAAGCCTCTGAGTGTGGGAGGCCGCCCTGCAGGGCCCCTGCCCGCCCCGCCAGCGTGTCAGGTGTAGCGCGCGGCCCCTTCCGTGCAGGAGCTGTTACTCAGCCAAAGTTCATTCCCAGGCCTACACTCCGTTTTGCAGAAATGGAATCAGATTGCACGAGAACTTTTGAACATGGTTATTTTAACAAGATTTCAGAGACGTTTTTCCAATAAATACTCATTTACAAAATTGTTTTGCCCCCTTTTTTTTTTTTTTTTTTTTGTAACTCTTTTCGTAGCCTGCTGATTCAGGGTCTTGGTTGCACGTTCAAAGCCCTGAGGTGTCTTAGTGCCTAGTCCCACCCCCAGAGATGACCAGTATTGACTCAGGGATTCCAGAACAAAAAGCAAAAACACTATTGCAAGTGACAGTGGCATTTCCCAGACTTGCTCAGGTCCTTCCTAGACCTCCAGGAGCTGCAGGCATTTCGTTCAGAGGCCAGGTTTGGAAATCCAGTCTGCACTCAACAGTGCTCAGTAATTACCAACTTAAGTGCACCTTCTAAAGTAAAATTGAAGCGGTGGAAATTGCTGGATCATGAGGTATACATATCTTTAAGGCTTCTTCGGTTACTTGATAGATACCCTTCAAAAAGATCCTGCCAATTAACATTCAGCTGTTAAAAAAAATTCAATCCAGTGAATTTGAAGATCTAATTGCCTTTTTTTAAATATATTTTTTTATTGATTTCAAAGAGGAAGAGAGAGAAACATCAGTGATGGGAGGGACTCATTGATTGACTACCTCCTGCATGCCTTCCACTAGGAACCGAGCCTGCAACCCAGGTATATGCCCTTGACCAGAATCAAACCTGGGACCCTTCAGTCCAAAGGCTAACACTCTATCCACTAAGCCAAACTGGCTAGCGCCTAATTGGCTTTTTGAAGGATTAATAAATTGGACAGTATCCCATCTAATCTTCTATCTAATAAAGAGGGAATATGCTAATTGACCCTCATGCCATTGCAAAGATGGCGGTGCCCACAGCCAATAAGGAGGGGATATGCTAATTGACTGCCCTGCCCTCAAAGATGGTGGTGCCCACAGCCACAAGATGGCAGTGTCCTGTCTCCTCAGCCCTGCCAGGGTAGCAGGCAAATGGTAAGGCTGGGCCTGTCCCCAGGCAGGCCCGGCCGCTCAACACACCTGCCTCCGGAGTTCCCCAGACCCCTCAGCCTCCTCCCAGGGCTGGCCCGAGGCACAGGCAAGCCTCGGATGGTGGCTGCCCAGCCACCCAGGGCTGCCTGAGGCTTAGGTAACCAGGGCTGGCTGAGGCTTGTGCTGCTGACAGTGGCAACAGGTGTGATGGTGCATCACCTTCCCCAGATCACCGGCTTCACCTCCTGCCCCTGAGGGCTCCTGGACTGTGAGAGGGGGCAGGCCTGGCTGAGGGACCCCCCCCTACAGTGCATGCATTTTCATGCAATAGGCCTCTAGTGTATGTATAAAGAAGTAATAAGCAAATTAGCCGGGACGCCATAATAGTCATGACCAGCTCAGGAGGAGGTGTATGTGCAGAAGGGTGGTAGGGGACTGCTTGCACTGTGAGGCAAGCCATGGATGGCTCAGGCCAGAGAGGAGAGGCAGGAATGTGTGCCCAAGCCGCAGCCACCACCAGCCCCAGCACACCCACCTCTGTGCGTGAGCTGCAGAAGAAACAACTTTTTTGATTGCTCATTGGCTAAGCTCCTGGTATGCACTCGCAGCGTTCTTGATAACTTGGTGATAAGAATCCAAGAAGGTGATCTCGGGCTTTTCCACCGCACCCCTGGAGGAAAAACGAAGGGCCACTGCTGGAGGGGCTAAGAAATGTCATATCCTGCCCTAGCCGGTTTGGCTCAGTGGCTATAACCTCGACCTGCAGACCACAGGGTCTGAGTTCAGTTCTGATCGATGGTATGTACCTAGGTTGCAGGCCCCTCCCTGGCCGGGGCCTAGGTCAGGGCTCATGCAGGAGGCAACCAATCTAAGTGTTCCTCTCACACTGATGTTTCTCTCTGACTGTCCCTCTCTCTTCAACATTCTCTAAAAGTCAATGGACACATCCTCAGGTGAGGATATAAAATAAAAAGGCCGAAACTGGTTTGCCTCAGTGGATAGAGCGTCAGCCTGCAGACTGAAGGGTCCCGGGTTCGATTCCAGTCAAGGGCATGTACCTTGGTTGCGATCACAACCCAATAGGGGATATGCAAGAGGCAGCTGATTGATGTTTCTCTCTCATCGATGTTTTTAACTTTCTATCCCTCTCTCTCTTCCTCTCTGTAAAAAATCAATAAATTTTTTTTAATGTCATATCCTATGAAAGATACGTCTTGAAAATGCCTAAAGAAAGTCGTCATATTTTGTGGTTAAGGGACTGGACTCCATGTTGATGAAAACACCTTGGTGGCTGGCAGTATCACAGCAGCAGCAGGGTGATGGGGGTGGCGCCTTTCCCTGATCAGCCCGCAGAGGGAGGCTGTGGCGAGCGGGCCTAAGCCATCAGTAGGACATCCCCTCAGGGCTCCCAGACTGTGAGAGGAAGCAGGCTCGACTGAGGAACCTCCCCTCCCCCATGCACAAATTTTGTGCACTGGGCCTGTTGTCCTATATAATAAAAGGTTAATATGCAAATTGTCCCTATAGGCAGGAATTGGACTGACCAGAAGTTAAATGTGCACAGACCACCAGAAGGCAGCACAAAACATGGTGGCACTGGCAGTGGAGGTGCTGCTAGCCCCAATGGGCCTCAATGAGAGCAGGACTGAGGCGGGATGGTGGAGCAGGTGAGTGGGAACCAGATGCAAAGGGAGGCCCCAGTGGCTGGGGCGGCAAACAGCCAGTGGGGAGGGGGGCCCTGGCCAGCAACTGCTAGGGACCCTACCCATGCACGAATTTCATAAACTGGGCCTCTAGTCTATCTACCTAATAAAAGTAACATGCTAATGCCGAAGCCAGTTTGGCTCAGTGGTAGAGCATCGGTCTGCGGACTGAAAGGTCCCAGGTTCAATTCCGGTCTAGGGCATGTACCTTGGTTGCAGGCACATCCCTGGTGGGGGGTGTACAGGAGGCAGCTGGTCGATGTTTCTCTCTCATCGACATTTCTAGCTCTCTATCTCCCTTTATCTCTGTTAAAAATCAATAAAATATATATATATTTTAAAAGTAACATGCTAATTAACCATACCTTCACAACGCATACCAGCCAATCAGGAGTGAGTATGCAAATTAACCCAACAAAGATGGTGGGTTAATTTGCATATGCAGGCACCAAGCGGCCAGGGGCGGGATAGGATGCAGGTGTTCCGCACCACTCCAGCCACTCCAGGCCTCTGGGCAGCATGAGAAGGCAGAAACGTGGCTCCGGCCAGAGCGAAGGCAGTGCAACAGCCAGGGGAAGGAAGGCCCATTCCTGCACAAATCTTCCTGTGCATCAGGCCGCCTCTAGTGTGCATATAAAAGTCTAAGCAACCTTCAACCAGTACACGCACTGACCACCAGGGGGGACAATGCTCAAAGCACAGGCATGGAAACATGGTACAGACTGATGAACTTCTGGAGGGAGGGGGAGATGGAAGGACAGGAAGCGATTAACCAAAGGTCTTATATGCATACAGAGGCCCAGTGCACGGATTCTCAGTGGGGATTGGGCCAAACCAGCAGTCCGACATCCCCCGAAGGGTCCCAGATCCATGCACTGGGCCTCTAGTAAACAATAAGAGAGTTTGCTCCAAGGACCTGTACAAAATGGAAGGTTTTTCTAGGAAACTCAATGGGACAAAAAAGTTAGTAGTAAAAAAAACAAAAAAATTGTTTCAGGCAAGCTCACCTGTCGGAGAAACGGTGGAAGGGGTCTTATCAACTAATGTTTTCAGATCACATTCCTGAGCTTGCATGGTTTTACTGTTTGTTTAAGATATTACAAAGTATTTGCACATTGTGTTACTCCCCCCAAAAAAAAACTTTTTAAAGAGAAAACTGCAGTCCCAAAATGGCATCACTCATGCTAAAAGCCCATGTTACCAAACCTAGATTTAATACCTGACATAATTGTTATTTCAACCTCTCCCAGAAACGTAATTTTAATTAACCAGTTGGAATTTTCTGGTCAACACCATAAGGTAATGTGTCACTCAGTCTTCCATCCCCCATGAAAAGAAGAGGCAATCTGCATAATATACACCTTTCCCATTCCTGC